TGCAGTTTTTACCACCGCCCTGCTCCGGCGGCACGGTGGAAAATGCGGCGTTTGCACTAAACTGCAGCCAATGGACCAGCGCAGCGTTAGATATAGCGAGCGACCCTCTCCCTTCCCTACTAGCCACGCCCCTAGACGCAAGAGACACGCACCTCTCTCCCTCCCCCTCGTGCAGACCGCACGCACGCATCCAGTAGTGCGTGCGGCTCGACCCCACGTTTTTGTGCCGCTGGCGTTATTATCCAGATGGAGTGGGAACGCGGACAGAGGTAGGGAGAGTGGCAGCCTGCTGGTCTGGACCAGAGGCATGGCCTGCAGAGGCCTGCGCTGGGCTGAACGAGAGATCTGGCGAGCAGCAGCCCGGCCTGGCCGTGCCGACAGACAGGCGTCATGATCGGTCAGAACCACAAAACAGCAATGGAGGAGTACCTCACGGACTGCAGTGCTGTTGACCGATACTTCTTTCAAGGACAGCCACTTAAAGTTTTCAATGTAAAGAAACACACAGCTCTTCTGCGGTGCTTCTGCTAATCTGTCATGATACGGTCCGTTCACAGCATAGCCCATGACGACGTCTTTAGCACGGCCGGCGGCGGCGGCAGTGCAGTTTTATGACTCGTTTATCGCATAAGTGGCTGACGGGGAGCAGCATGACACGCTAGATAACTCATCCGGGTGCAACGACGCGAGGGAGGGGCAGACTAAGTGTCACCTCAAGATAGCAGTCATGAGAGTTGAGTGAGAGCACAGTCTGCGCAAGGGTCGGTTGTGCAGAGCGACCGGGGAAGACAGACAAGACCACCAACCCCTACTCTGCCGCTCATTGTCTGCGGGAAATTGGCGACTCCGCGAGCTTCGCATTGTCTGTGAGCGGGACGGGGGCGGGGACGGGGTGACCGTGAGGTTGCGAGATCCGCCCAGCGGAAGGGGCTGCCATGAGTAGCTATTGTTCAGCCGGGTCGGCCACCAGCTCCGCTACTTGTGTCACCAAAGATCCACCGTGAAACAGAGACGCGCTATTCGTGGGTGGCATTGTTCGCGACGCGGCTGGCCGAGAGCCCGAACTGCAGTTCCGTCTAAACGCAGATCCGGTGATGAAGTCAGCGGAAATAGACGACCGCTCCCGCTGCGTAGAACATCCCACCGGCTCAACTCCCGTCGCCACCTGCCTCAGGCGTCGACCCCCGCTCGGCGCCGGGGGCGGTTGGTGCACCCCTCTGTCGACAGCTGGCGTCTGCACCGTGCACCGTGCACTGTGCAGGGTATGGTGACGGGCCGTGACTGATGGCGGCGGGCCGACCACGTGTCCGGGGTACCGCTCACGGCGTGTCGTCACGTCACGTCACACCCCCAGGGGGAGGGGCGCGCTCCTCGGGTGCCGTCACCTACGACGGACGGCCGGAGCAGCGGCGGCGGCTGACCGCAGGCCCGCCCCGCCCCTGTCTCGGGGTCAATGTCACCGGACGCCGTGCCAGAATGTCATCGACTGCGATGTTGGAATGATAGTCGCATGTCGCAGTTGTACACTCGGGGGCAGATTGATGTTCCACAACTCTTTATCCACCGGGTTCCTATGGCTCAGCATTGGCAGCAGCCGCCTGGTACCGGTAGACTGTGCCGCTTCACTTACTTGTCAAGCGGCACAGCCTACCCACACCGTATGCCACCGGTCTGGGTCGGTGGCTGAAAGGCGATGTGGGCCGCCTGTGACGTCAGCGCAGCGGTGAGGGCCGAGCCCGGAGGCATGGCTCGGGTCGGCGCGGCGCGGCGGCTGGCGAGGGCTGGGGAGTGAGGTGGGGTGGGAGCACGGACCATCGCGCGGCTGAGCGAGTGTAGTTAACTTTCGCGTCTCAAGGCGCCAATTATTCTACCTAACAATTGTGCTAAAGCAGTTGTTAAAATGTCCTATCCCCAAGACAGCGCCTATCAACATACTTGCCATGCACATTACGACACACTTAAACGTGACATTGGGACAGCCGATAGAATTTATATCACACGTGCATCGAGTTGCGGAGCTACATTGTTTTTAACAGATATGTAGTAAGGCCTTGATTGAGCTCATTGGTGTCTATTATTTCGCACAGCAATCGTCCAGAGACGTGGGAACTGGGGTTTTTGGATAGCGCGGCGTCCCAACTCTTATGTTCCTCTAATGTGTGGTCGCAGCCACCAATAGCAAACCGTTCCATCTAGGAACAAATAAGTCGCGCACCTGGGACGGTTCGAACCGGGTTTCTCCAACCGGTCACCCCACGACGCTAGCCTGTATCCACTGAGCTGCCGAAACCAGCGACCACCCGCCGCGGTCAAACGCGATCAAATGTCACAATACTGTCATTGGCGGTCAGCGGGTGAATGTCATTTTGTTTTGTGCAGACGAGGACCATTCTCGGTAGCTCAGTGGATGAACGCTCGTGTCGTGAATTGGCCGGTGGGAGAAGCCCGGTTCGAATCCCCCTGAATGGCCGACTTTTTGGCTCCTAGTTGGAACGGTTTGCTATTGGAGGCTGCGACCACATATTAGAGCAACAGTAATAATCGCTTTAAATTGGAGCGTTGGCTGCGGCACTACTCATAACCCCCAGTTCCCACGTCTCTGGACGATTGCCGTGCGAAACAATAGACACCAATCTGCTCAATCAAAGCCTTAATACTAATATGTTATACAAAATATAGCTCCGCACCTCGATGCACGAGTGACATAAGTTCTATCGGCTGTCCCATTGCCACGCTTAAGTGTGTCGTAATGTGCATTGCAAGTATGATGATAGGCGCTGTCTTGGGGATAGGACATTTTAACAACTGCTTTAGCACAATTGTTAGGTAGAATAATTGGCGCCTTGAGATGCGAAAGTTAACTACACTCGCCCAGCCACGCGATGTCCGTGCTCCCACCCCACCTCACTCCCCAGTCCTCGCCAGCCGCCGCGCCGCGCCGACCCGAGCCATGCCTCCGGGCTCGGCCCTCACCGCTGCGCTGACGTCACAGGCGGCCCACATCGCCTTCCAGCCACCGACTCAGACCGGTGTCATACAGGTGGGTAGGCTGTGCCGCTTGACAAGTAAGTGAAGCGGCACAGTCTACCGGTACCAGGCGGCTGCTGCCAATGCTGAGCCATAGGAACCCGGTGGATAAAGAGTTGTGGAACATCAATCTGCCCCCGAGTGTACATTGCAGTCTCATGAATATTGCGGCAGAGGAGAGATAGACGAGCGACTAACGAGTGACAGTTGACAGTGGACGGCCAGAGGACCTTCAGTCCGTCACAACAGACACCTCTGAGTCACGTTTCTGGAGTCAGGGTCAAATGCAGCCTCACGATTCCTACGGTTCAAAATCATATCGAAATATGCAGCTGCACTGTGCACGAATCTCATCCTACATCTCTCATCATTCCTGCAAGCATCTCGTAGAACTTTCTGCAGCTTTCCGTCAGCACAAAAACGTTCAATGTTTTCCAGCAGATCAGAACTGTCTCACAGATACGGGACGCGGCCGGCCGCGGCGGGGTGCGTCGGCTGATTTCCGACGTAATTACCGGCAGGGTGACTCGGCACGTCCCTAATGAGCTGACTCGTGATGGAGTAGTTACCGCGACTGGGGAGAGCGAATAGGATCGCCGAGCGTTGCAGAGGAGTATCAGGGACTCATGATTGGATCGTGTTGTGTTGCACATATCTCTACTGCAGGATGTATCTGGTTGCGTTGCAAAGAAGCCCGGGGGACAGCAGAGGCAGGGTCGTTTGCAGCTACTTGAAGCTGCCTAAGCAATAGCCAATTATAGCCACCTTATGGTCAATGAGTTCGCTAAATCAAGCATCGCTCGTAACATAGGCACAGAGTCACTTCCGTTTTTAGATACATCGATCAGGATAAAAGTCGAGTATTATGACACCTCAGACCGCCAGAATCGGTTTCCTTCCGTTGACCCCACCAGACGATGCACCGGATACATATTCCATCAGATCTAATATTTATCCCTCTCCTCTTACAAATGTAAGCTTGCATTGCTCTCTTTGTTCCACGTTCACGAATCTCTCATCCTTCCCATGCTCTTTTCAGAAGCCTCATGCTTCTTTAGCTTCATCGCTTACCCACGAGTACCTCGCGACATTTCCTTAAAATTGCAGGTAATAACCGCGCCTCTACCTGCGCCGTCGTCACACCTGGTCAAAACACCACAACAACAGTCACTTTCCTGACCTTCGTGCACGTCACGACCTTCCGTGTCCCCTCGGTCGGCGTTGGGGACAGGAGGGTCCCGGACCGACCCCGGGCCGCAGTCCCCTCGCGTCGCGTGAGTCAGCTGAGCAGCGCTCGATAGAGCGGCGGCGACCACGCCCGACGACCGCCGCCGCCGCCGCCGCCGACGGGGCTAAAAACAGCCCCGCTCTGCCGACGGCGGCGGCGCCGAAGGGCCCCTCGCGGCGCCGCCGGCCGTCCGAGACGCAGGAGGATGTGGCGAGCCGCAGAGACAGGAAGGACGTACCGGGTGACGTCATGCTGCGAGGGCGCAGCGCGGCGACGCTCGACGTCGAAAACCAGACCGAATTAAACCGGAGCATTTCAGAGAAATGGGGAAAAGAGAAGGATCCGCTTAAATGTGTTCCCTAGGGCAGCCAAGCGAGATGAAATGCTGAGAAAATGAGTTGTTCAACCTTCAAGGCGAGACTTTCCTTGCCGGAAGTCACCAAGCAGCCACACCCACGACAGTCGCGATTTTCTCACGGTTTCCGGAAATGGCTCATAATCGAAATGGCGCGACAACTTTATAGGGTAATTGCCCTGGATCGAATATACTCCCTGGGAAACACTCTGTGAACTAACTTAGGAGCAGTTTATCGCCTTGAAGACCCGGGATACGTTTCAAAAATGAAGATGTTCAATGTTCATACCTCATCATCATGGATCAGGGGTAAATCACAACTCCCAGAACCACCAAAAACAGGTCACAATACGCGAGGGCCAGCCAGAGCTCCCCACATCCATCACTTACCTTATGTCCAGCGCGTGTCTATGACTCTCTGTGCCGGCTGGTGGCGGCTGGCGACCGCTCTCCGCACTGTGTGTGCCCGGGGCGCGGCGGGGCGAGGAACTGGCGAGCCGGCCGGCCGACCCGTCAGCTGACGGAGGGGCGGTGGCCGCTGCGCCGCCGCCGCTGCCGCCGGGACCTGCAGCGCCATCTCGGGTCCGGCAGCACGGCGGCCCGCGGGCCGAGGATGGCCGCGCAGACAGACAGTCTGACAGACCGATGAGCCGTGCCGACTGAGACAGGATGACGGCGCCGAAATGCGGCAGGGTGATTCTGACTGTGTGGAAGAGAAATGAGTCAAAGGTGAACTGACCACCGTTAAAAAAAAAACGAGGGAATGCATGTTTTCAGAAAAATGAATGGCTTTAGGTCGGAAAGGTTTCTTCTACAAAATATATTTGGTCATTGGTAGCATCTCATTTATAATAAGTAGAGAGTTAAACCTCTATGCTGTCGTTTCCATCCTCAGGATGCTAAAATCCTTCTCCTCCACACCTCAACCCCCTGGCCCGGGCTGGACGGTCACCAGTATAGTTTATACCATGCGGGTAGCTCCACCCCAGGAGCAGGCCTGTAGGCGTAATGCTGTGACCGTTAGCGAGGCTCCTGTCCACGTGATGAGCTCTGCCACGGCGGGTCACCAGGGTGCTCGCCCAGACCAATGTCGCCCCTCCTCCCTAATTCCTATCATCCTTCCGGCGCTGAAGTGATCTCGTTAGACTGAGTGAGCCTAAACCAACAAAATGATAATAGTAATTAATAATAAAGAGTTAAACTAAATAGAGTTATAGAGACATGATCAATTATTTTATACCTTTCTCACAGCATTATCCCTTATATGGAAGCCGGCTCAGCTAATTTCTGAGGAAGCATTTGCAATAGGTAGGGATTTATATTTTGTATTTACTTTACATTAATTTAAACCTTTCGAACGACGCTCTAGATTTGAAGACGATGATAACGGGTGCGTATTATTTAGGCCAGGGTTCATAATGTCCAGGGCACAATGTGTCCAGTGCTCGAATTGGCCAGTGCCTTGAATTGGCCAGTGTTCACATTGTCCAGGGATTACATGGTCCAAAAGTGGCCAACTGGCTGCAGATAGGGTAAATACAAAGAGGCCAGGGTTCATAATGTCCAGGGCACGATGTGTCCAGTGTTCAAAATGGCCAGGGTTCATAATGTCCAGGGTACGATGTGTCCAGTGTTTGAAATGGCCAGGGTTCATAATGTCCAGGGCACGATGTGTCCAGTGTTCAAAATGGCCAGTGCCTTGAATGGGCCAGAGTTCATAGTGTCCAGGGATTACATAGTCAACCCAACCCAACCAAACCTAACCTAACCTAACCTAACCTAACCTAACCTAACCTAACCTAACCTAACCTAACCTAACCTAACCTAACCTAACCTAACCTAACCTAACCTAACCTGACCTAACCTAACCTAACCTAACCTAACCTAACCTAAGGTAATGAAGTTTGCCTTCCAGGGATAAGGAAATAGTTTCTCGCATGAATAGATTGCAAGCAATAGTAAATCAAATATTTTTAGGTTAAGTGGTTATGCATCAGGCTTCAGGCCTTCGGCCTGAAGCCAGATACATAACCACTTAACCTAAAAATATTTGATTTACTATTGCCTGTAATCTCTCCTAAGGCATTGCCTTCGGCACTGCACTGCTTTGCATTGAGCTGATTCCGTGTTTTTTACATAATGACGTCACTTTCAGTGACTATGTAATCCCTGGACATTATGAACTCTGGCCCATTCAAGGCACTGGCCATTTTGAACACTGGACACATCGTGCCCTGGACATTATGAACGCTGGCCATTTCGAATACTGGACACATCGTGCCCTGGACATTATGAACCCTGGCCATTTTGAACACTGGACACATCGTGTCCTGGACATTATGAACCCTGGCCTCTTTGAATATACCCTATCTGCAGCCAGTTGGCCACATTTGGACCATGCAATCCCTGGACATTATGAACTCTGGCCCATTCAAAGCACTGGCCATTTTGACACTGGGCATAGCGTACCCTGGACATTATGAACCCTGGCCAGAATGAATGCTCCCCATGATAACCACGGCTGAGGGCGGCGACTCTGGGCGGAGGCTCTGACCGCCAGCCCCGGCGGCGGCGGCGGCGGGGTCGTGTCGGCGTCACGGTCCACTCCGCCGCGTCGGCGCCCATCTGTGGCCGCCTGATGAGACCGTCATTTCGCGGCTGCACTGGACAGAGACTAACAGCACACAGACACTGGCGCTCGGCACGACCATGCCACTGATACCGCCCGACCGCGCCGGCAGAAACGCTCCATTTCCCAACACTCAAACGGTAACAGCATGCTCTGCAGAACAACTAACTAAGGCGTAAATATTATCAGAATAATCCGCATTGTTGTAATATATTTAAGTTTCGATTCCTATCACATGTGCCATGTAAAATTAGATGGAAAGTATGAATATTATAATTAAAAGAAGCACGCGGCTGACTTCCCGACTTACAAAGATCTTGACCCGCCTGAACGTCTCAGTTTCGACTGGCTCGACTACGACGGGGATCGACCAAACACCGAGAGCCCCACTCGTCCCATCGTCAACACTCGATGCTCCTTGCGCCATGTTGGTCCAAGGCCGGAGCCGAGCTCGTCGATTGTTGGGTCTGCTCCGAGTGCAAATAGCGGAGCTCCAATATTGGCCATATGAGACACCAAACCGCGACACTCACTCCGAGGAAACGTATTATCAGGGCACACAAACAGACGGCTCAGAAAGTCAAACGAAAGCTGGCTCCGTTTACGGAATAAGGAGTTATTTGATTTGGATTTCATTGTTAATGTTCTGATTGTGCTGATTGGTGTCATGTGTAGTTGCTGCAATGTCTACTCTAGGGAATAAATTCTGGTAATGCGATGTTCTCAAGGAAAGTGAGGACATCTAAAATGTCTTTTATGTTGTATAGGTACTTAAAGCTCTAAAGTGGGTCTTTTTCTCCCTAAAAAAATGAAAAATAATTCAACTGATATATTTGTCTCTTTTTACTCGCAGTGCTCGGTTTTAATAAATAATAACTTCGAATCGTATCAAGAAATGACCGCTGCTTAAAATGTCAGGAAAGCTCTAACTACCTTAATGAAAATATCTTCATGACTTGACATCTGCTTAACAGATATACATAAAATATTTCTACATAACTATTTGCCTTCACCGGTCACTGATTCGAGGTGCCATTGAAACGAATGTCAGTTTCCTCTATGTTAAGAGCGCGACGATTTTTTTTTCGGCGAAAGTTTTTGCGATTTGGCTGCAAACGGAATGTATAGTCGCTCTGCTTTCAGAGCTGATGTCCATTGACATTGAACCACCGTGACCGCATATCCGCGTTACTTCAATGATAAGCTTTCCGTGGAAGGCTTAGCCAGATAGCAAACGTGAAGTGGAGTTATTATTGACAATTGGATTGGCAATCAGTGTGTATTTAACGTACAGAAGTAGGTCCAACTGGCAAGCATTGAGCAACAGCACTTCTGCTTGAAAACATTTCTGACTCAGTGGAGCATGCAGTGGGCATTGGGGTGTCGTCTTCTCTTTACCGTGTGGCGCAAACAATCACACTGCCCTAAAAGGTCCTCCCCTTTCTTTCTTCTCTGCTTTCCCCTCTGCTGTGTCTCTGTTCTGTATCTGCCTCTCCTCTCTCTCTCTCTCTCTCCTCTCTCTCTCTCTCTCTCTCTCTCTCTCTCTCTCTCTCTCTCCTCCTCTCTCTCTCTCTCTCTCTCTCCTCTCTCCTCTCTCTCTCTCTCTCTCTCTCTCTCTCTCTCTCTCTCTCTCGCTCTCTCTCTCTCTCTCTCTCTCTCTCTCTCTCTCTCCTCT